CCCCCCCCCCCAAAAAAAAACACCTACATCTTATCGCCCCTCTTGAGTCATGGCTACCCCCAAGTCCTACTTAATGCCCCTATGGAAGGGACCAGCACGGGGGGGGATTGACTGGCCGGATAGGTTCTAGGGGCTTAATATTTATTCTAGGACGGGCTGGAGACAGTTCTGTGCAAGTTAATCTGGTTTGATGGGCCATATCTCGTGTGGTCTCTCAGAGACCGGCTTAGACTGCAGGATAAGAGGTTTGGGCATCAGGGCTGTTATCGTGGATGCGATGTTCTGCATACCAGAAACCAGGATTGCACTCATGATTTCTGGCCAAGATGGTGTGTTGCATCTGAGTGGTGCCATGTACCAGTTCGCTCGGCCCCTTCCATTTGTCGTCTGACGTGTGATTCAAGGACAGGAGAAATGCCATGTGACGATACTGGTTGCCGCTCTCTGGGATGTAGCAAATGCAAGGTTGGCATCATGCTACCGCAGCCACCGGCTTTTTACGACTCCAGCAGAGGAGATAGCTCCTTTCCCTGTAGTCTTAGTATGGAACTTCTAAACGTACTCGTTTTTTTCCTGCAGGCGGCTGCTCCGGAGGCTGCCACTTCTTGCCCGGCAGGATACTACTGTCCACATGGGCAGCCAGTGCTTTGCCCCGCGCACCACTACTGTGTCGAGGGGTCATCGCGGCCCATGCTTTGCCCAGCAGGCACCGTTTGCAAAGGCCTGGAGACTCTTCATGTAGCGTGTAGGTGACGCGTCTCAGACACCAGTTGCGACAAACAATCAGGCATTGGGGCAGCCCTGTCTGTTGGTGAAGCCTCCGTGGTAAACACATCTTCTGCGTAGGTTGGGACCCGTCCGTGAACATGACCGCAGCCTCCGCAATCGACGTCTCGCCGGTGAGCGTGGGCTTTGCTCACACCCTGATGCTGCCTCGACCGTCAATTAGCATAGGATGTTGTACTCCTTTTTAAGGGCGTTCTTGAACATGCCCATCGTTGCTCAGCCAAGCATCAGCACAACGGCATTACTCGTTGCATCTACGGGGCACTTTTGCTTGGCATACCTTGACCTGACTCCAGTCTGTATATGCTAGCGCGTGTGTGGCTCACTGGCGCTTACCACTGGAGTCTCTGAAAAGCTGTCCCGCTTTTGTGAATCGCCGGAAGAGATCGCATGTTTCATCAGTAAGCTAAAGCGCTTGCTGCATTATGTTTGGTAGTGTTGCTAATGGTCTATAGCTGAACGCTGCTGTCTTGGGTGAACACACCTAAGCCTCTTAAGCCTCCCGAGAGCCTGGACCCTCGCCTGCTTGTCGAGTGCGAGTGCCGAAAATATGGGAGTTTCTGAAAATAGGGGGTACCTCATTTTGGGATCCTTATAATAAGGATCCTACTATTTAGGGTACTATATTGGGGTCCCCTGTTTTCGGAAACCCCCATATAGAAGCCCGAAGGTTAAGAGAAACATGTACTTGACTCCTGAATGTGAACGATTGTAGCCAGCTGATGACCACGACGGGTTCGTTGTAACGACATGACGTAAACGACAATGGTTGCGAGTAGCTTGGAACAGCTCCTCGGACTAGGCCGCAGGGTGGGGAGGTAGGGCCAGACTGGGTCAAGCCGTCCAACAGCGGTCAAGACGGCTTCGGATTTGGGTAGTTCTGTAAACTCGGGTCCTTTTCTTAGATCCCCAATATAATTCGTCACCCTTATACAAAGGATACCAAAAGGGACCCTGATTTAGAGAACTACCCATATATCTCTTCACCTTCTTTGCCCTTCCAGGTTTCTATTGCCCTCGTGAGAAGTGATAAGTACTCAGCATTCAAGTCTATATCTTGGGAAGTTGTTGTATGTCACTGAATAGGATGAGTATTACAGGTTCAGTGGTATGTGTATATTCGTATGCACTGTCCGTGGTTCGTATTGGTGGTGTTCTTGATACCCACTATTAATAACCATTCTGGTTCCCGTGTTATCAATGAAGCGTGCCAGGGTTGCACAGGACGGCAAGTGCTGGGCCTCTGGCTGGAACAGTGGCGGCCAGCTGGGCATCGGCAATGAGCAGGACGAGCCGAATCCGGTGGAGGTGCTGAACTTAACGGCATCGATCGCATCTCGGATTGGATTTCTCAGCGCGTTTAGCAAATTAGTTCGATCCAGATTTAGAATCTCAAGTTGTCCCTATGAAGGATAGAGACAGCCTTCAGATTTTGTAAGCACACAAGGCACCAGGAATTAATTTGACTCAACACGGAGAAACATTCCAGGCCCAGACATAGTAAAGATTCGAACGCAGGAGCTGGACTTGCCTTCCTGCAACTAGCCGTTAAATTAGATATGGCGCTAACTCTGCTGTGCCTAAACAGACCGGCGTTGACTTCAAGTAAGTCGGCCATCCCCCAATGCAACTCCAGGTTGCAGTTTCGGCGGGGCACAGGCATTCTGCAGCAATTTCTCACGATGGTGACTTGTTCTTGTGGGGTGCCAACGCAGGAGGACGGATTCGGTCTCTGTCTGAATGATGTGTGCCTGTCGGGAGGGCAGTGGATGCAAATCACTCAAGAAGGCAATTCATGTACACATCCGTCGGTACTGCTGCTTCCTCCACTCAACCCGTGTGCAACCACCTGCAGGACAGCTTGGCACTGGCACCACAAGATCAAGTCACACTCCTGTACTGGTTGATATTGATGGCCACCGATTCTTGCCTTCATCATGTCGTCATCGGTCGATAGCGATCTAAAGTGCGCGATTCGATGCCCAAAGTTAGCTTGCAGCTTACTGTTCAGATTCGACCCGCTGTGCAACGCAACAGCCAAGGAGCCACAGCAGTGGACACCAGCTGGCACACAGTTGCTTTGACGGAAGAAGGAAATTGCTTCACTTGGGGCTGGAACTGGTGCGGCCAGCTTGGCACCGGAAACACTGCAAATGGGTACACGCCATTTCGAGTAGACATAGATGGACAGAGAGTTGTGGCTATCGCCGCAGGATACGAGCACACGGCGGTAGTTACCTCCTCTGCTCAAGCTTGGGCTTGGGGGTCCGACGCCTACGGCCAGCTTGGAGCCGGCAAGCTCCCTCGTAATCACCTCCTGCCTGTCAGGATGCAAATATCTAATGCGATCTCTGTTTCGGCAGGCTCGTGGCACACGCTCCTTGTCACTGCTGCGGGCGTGTGTGTGTCCACCGGGTACAATGCCGATGGACAACTTGGCCTTGGCGACTTTCTCAAAAGGAGCGAGCCGACAGAGGTGCATCTCGAGGGGGAGAGGGTGGCAGCGACTGCTGCAGGAGAATTTCACAGCGCAGCTCTTTCCCAACATGGCGATTTGTGGCTTTGGGGCTGGGGGAAGGCCTGGCCACAAAAGCTGAGAGCTCCTGAGCGCTTCTCGTCCATTGCTGCCAACTCCAAGCTGACCTTGGCCATTTCGGAGACAGGACGATGGTGGTCTTGGGGCACAGACAAGGCACCGGCCTTACCGGCCTTGGTTGAAGACGCCCCGCCGGCGAAGACAGGAGTTGCAGAGTTCGGCCACGTGCCCTTATGTTGGCCTCTGCACAAGCCAGCTCCAACTGCCATGCTTGGAGAAGTCTTCCATGCGGCTTTGGATACCGAGGGCTTCTCGGCGCTTCCCTGCTCTGGTCTGCGGCTGTGGGTGTCGCTTCTTTTGCAAGGGAGCCCCTGCCCTCTTTATGTCGGAGCTTCTGAAGCAGATGTGTGTCCGGAGGGCTACTTTTGCCCTCCCGGGCAGGCCTGCGCAGTTGAGTGCCCGGCTGGCACCAGCTGCTTCTCGTCCTTGACTTCAGGGTGTAGAGCTAGGTACAACAGTAAGGTTAGCGGCCATCATGCCAACACATCCGTCCCCGATTAATATATATATATATATAATTTTTTTGTTTATTTGATTTATTTATTTATTTCTGTTTTGTTCCGTCTTAGCTGTTATTTATGTGTAGAGACTTCTGGGGTTCAGGGTTGTTTAGGCATCCAGATTAACAAGTAAGCATTGCACCAGCATTTCGCAGCCTGAAGAAACGCGTACATTTCTCAAACCAGCTGTCGTTGGCCGTAGCTCTGATTTGCTCATGCAACTTCCTGCTCTAATGTAGGGGCCGAAATAATTACCTACATTATTTTGGGGGTTCCTGATTATAGCTATAGTAGAATATATACCCCAAAACCCTATTCCAATTGTTCAAGGCCCCTACATTTACGTTGTGCAGTTTTGTCACGGTAGCAAGCCGTAATGCTGCAGAAGCCCACAGGTCCTCGACACAAAATCCACAACCCCCCCACGGTTTAGGGTTTAGGGTTTTGGGTTTGGGGGTTTTGGGTTTAAAGCCCTAAGCCCTCAACCGTAGTTTAGGGCCTGCCTTTAGCTTGTTATTGTTTTGCCGTTGACCCAATGCCTTCAAGCACCTACGCATCGAAACCGAACTCCTAAACTAAACTGCGAAGCCACCTAAAGGTGTGATTTTTTTTGAATAACCGTGTTGATTCGCAGGAGGCTTGCTAAGAGAAGCAGTGGTGGCATTCGCCGAATGAAGCTGCAAGAAGTAGGACTCTCCATAGGGCTAGTTCTCTAAACTAGGGTCCCTTTTTAGGTCCCCCATAGAATACGGCACCCTTATAATAAGGACCCTAAAAGGGACCCCAATTCAGAAAACTACCCAGAAGGATTTTTGGGGTTCCTCACAGGGTTCTTTTGAGCTTCAGAGCAGGTAATGCCGGCTCTGCAGCGCCGCAGCCGTGTCCACGGGGCCTCAGCTGTCCACCCGGGAGCTTTGATGGATCGCAGTCCTTGGAGGTGAGACGAAGCTCCTTTGCTGAAACGGCTCGGAGCATTAGGGTTTAGGGTTTAGGGGTTTAGGTTTTTTAGGGTTTAGGGGTTTAGGGTTCAGGGGTCTGAGGTATGCGGCATGTGGGAGATGTTTCGATTCCTGTCTGAGTAGTGAGCCGTAAGTAGTTTCGACAGCCATCGAAGCAGTACAGATTAGCACTCTGAAGGCGACAAAACAAGAACATGTAAACGAGGTTTGCCGCGTTAACATGAACCACAGTGTTTGCGTTTCAAAATGTTTCTGAAGTTCTGCATTATACTTGCACTGTTGCACTGTTGTGTGCTGCTGGTTGTCCGAAGCATTGTTGGCTTCGTGATGATGCCGTGAAAAGACTGCGTGCGCTCATGATCGTCCTGGGATTTGCGGCTTTGTTCGCTCTTAAGCTTGTGTTGTCATGTTGTTGCGCTGCGGCTTTTCGAAGTGTCTCTTCGTTGTGCTCCAGATTGGCAGCCCTCCCGCGGTAACTATATACAGATGGGCAGGGCGAGGGGACGCTGTCCAAGCCAATTTTCAACAGCTGGGCTTCAGTGGGATTTTCGAAAACCCAACGGTAGGCATTATATTGCAAGGAGGACTTAACGAAGCACTAAGCACTCCTTGTACGAAACCCCCATTGCTGAGCACATGCGCGGGAAAGACCTGCATTGCGGTGGTTGTCGGTTACGTTTTGCACAAGTCGCGCTCCACCAAAGCGTGTACCCTATACCATGCTGTATACCTTGAACCCAAATCCTCATCTACTCGATTCCTCCGTACATAAGTTTGAAGTTCGTTCCAGGTGTCGGCGCCATGTTTACAGTCGTGGCACTGACGCTTTGTGCCTGTGCTGTCGGCCTGCAGCTACTCTCATTGAAGATCTCGGAGCGCTATCGTGGGATGTACACTGTTGAAGGAGATGATTTTGAAGATTACATTCTCATCGAGTGATGGAGAGAGCGTTCTGACCCTAAACCCCAAACTCTAAACCCTAAACCCTAAACCCCTAAACCCCTAAACCCTAAACTCCTAAACTTTAAACCCTAAACCCCTAAACCCTATAAACCCTGAGCGACAGCTGCTCTTTCCGGGAGTTTTGTGTCGCTGCACAAAAGCTGCAGCCAGCAAACCGCCGGCGGCAAAAGGCAAGCGTAAAGGTCGTGCAGCTCACAGCGCTTGACCTTTGTTTTGCTGAGCCTTAGCATGTTTTCTTAGCAAATTGAGTCTGAACGACGAGAGGCAGTCATAAAATGTGAGCAACATGTGTGTAATTAATGTTGAAGCTGCGAGTCGTAAGCAATTGAACCGGTGTCACACCCGTGAGAGTAGCAACTGCATTGGCCATGAGGGTAATCCGCAGCAAAATCCTTTTCAACTGTTTGGTGGCTGTAGAAATTCGCATGCTTCGTGTTTTTTCTGTCATTCAGTTTATTGGCTTTCGTGTGTGTTTCCTGTGGCGATGACTACTATGAACTACTACAAGCAGTGATGCTGCTGGTCTTGCACTCCGCGTTATTTTAGATGGTCATCCACATAAGGTGTTGGAAAGTAGCAGCAGTGTTCCACACTGTATGGTCCCTTCTTGAAGCTTTACTACACGCGCGCGCGCCTAAGCCCTACTTTCTATCTATTGAGGCCGCTATGCAGGTGACTGTGTCCGTGTGGGAGAGAGAGAGAGGGGCCCCTATGCTAGACTACAATTGTTATCCTCGCGCTGCTTCAGATGCCCGTCCCAGCAGTGAGGATTTGCGTCTGAGGCTTGGTTGAGTCATGTTGAGTCTGGGGTGACAGTAAACTTGGGGGCTGAGTAGGTAACCTTTAACCTTTTGGGGTTTATATAACCCTACTATAATTCAAAAACTCAAAAGGTTGACCTTTTTTGGGCTAGGGTACCCAGCCCCTAAAGTAAGGCTCGCGGCTTGGATGCGGGGATTGCCCCGTTCAGGCTCTGAAGGGGTCAGGCTGGCTCAGAACGCACAGGGAAACCCAAGTTTGACCAGTTTTTGCCCCCAAACTCTGAATCCCGTAAATCCCAGCGCAGCTCAATTCTGCCAAGGGCTTCGATGCGAACCCTATCTTGGACCTTGACTTTGCCGGCAACGCCTGTAGCTATTTCACAGCCACTCATGATGCAGCTTCGGGTGTTAGGATTGAGGGGTTCAGGGCTATTGACATGACCATGGCTACTGCCAGCGTTAGTATCACACCAACTAACAAACAAGCCGGACGTGAAAGAGGTCGTATGGCACAAAAGTTCGCTTTGGGGAATCCTCCAAAATCGTGGTTGCTGTTCTGTCCAGCTACTTGACAGACAAGCTGCTCCAGACCTCTTACTTGGCTCTTCTAGACCTGTATGCATTTCGAGCCTTACAACAACAATACGTAAACAAGAAGAAGAATGACCATAGTTACCGTTAGCTGCAAGCACGGAAGCAACGGCAAGGTTCGAGAATGGCAGCAAGTAGCAAGTATAGAAAAATACAAGGGTCACCATCACGGGCATAATGACCACCTTATGCAGCGCAAAGCAGTTCTATGATTCATTGCATTTAGGCTAGGATTTTGCTCAAAGCCCAACATCAAACCTCACAGTGTATCTTGATAACTCGTTTCTTACAGAAGTTGCCCAGGTCGGCAAGGTGAAGGCAGCCACCCTGTCAATCACCGTGCTGGCGGGGACCACAGGGACGGGGATCAGTCAACAAAGGTTTTTGCTGTTAGGCCTAGGGTAACAGCACAAGGTAGAACTTGGTGTTCCTCTGGTTGGCTCTTAGGACTTTAACTTGTTGGGTTTCTAGATGAACCATAATAAGGAGGCTAAAAGTTTAACTTTTTGGAAGGGTTCAGAAGTCAGCCAAGAGAAGAGAAGTGAGCAGTCGCGATTCCGCCTGTGCTTCGACAATTCTCGGTGTATTCGGACTCTGGAGAAGGGATCCTGTTACAGAGCAGAGGGGTTTAGGGTTTAGGGTTTAGGGTTTTAGGGTTTAGGGTTTAGGGTTTAGAGCTTTGGATATAGGACTTCAGGATGTTTGACGGCTCAGGGTAATAACTCAGGGTATAACCTTTCTGTGCAAGGTGATGATCCAGCTGTTGAACGCGTTCAACGCCGTGTCGGAGGACAACAGTGGCAGTTCCCGATAAAAACCCTAAACCCTAAACCCTAAACTCGAAGCTCTCAAGAACGTAGGTCTCCACTGCGCTCAAATCCAAGACGAGCTCGGCATGCAATTCTTCTTCTCACCACTGTTGTGGTTTAGGGTTTAGGGTTTAGGGTTTAGATCCTCGCATACCCCAAACCCTGTACCCCGAACCTTGTACCCCTCAGAACTGAGGTAATGTAGGGGCCTAAATAATTACCACTACTATTTTGGGGGTTCCTTTTCATAGTTATAATATGTTGGGCCCGATCTCCCTATTGAATTTATAAAGGACCCGGTATTAAACTTGTCTGAATCTCTTAAGCTCGGGATGCCGCTTTGGGGAGAAAATTCTACGTAAACATCGCGGGGTGTAGGATTTAGGTTTTAGGATTTAGGTTTAGAGATATAAGGCTTGAATCCTAAACTTCGAAATCGGATCACCCTGAACCCCATACCCTGCCCCCACACCCTAAGCCCTAAACCCTAAGCTTAACAAATCAAAGGGTCTAAAAACAGGGGGCCTAGATAATTACCACTACTATTTGGGGGGGGCTCCTTACTACAAGTATCGTATAATGGACCCCAAAACCCTATTCTAGTTGTTAGGGGCGCTACAGTAAATAACAGGATCCTTACAACAAGGCCCTTCCCTCCAGAAACTACTTCTGGCTAACCATCGCTTCCATGATCAAAAAACCTCCTTGTTAAGGGCCCTACACCCAGACCCCCGGGAGGATCTAGGAAGTAGGGTTCCTATAAAGTACCCCGTAGTAGTATAGGGTCCCAAGTTAGGGGATCTACTTTCCCTAAACCCTAAACCTTTCTAGATCCTTCCGGGGGTCTGGGCATTAAGCCGGTTCGAAGCCTGGCAACCGTGGAGCTTTCGACCCAAGTTTCGCGTAGCGAGTTCAGGGTTTTGGGGGTTTAGGGCTTATAGGGTCCAGGGCTTAGGGTTTAGGGCTTCGGGTTCAGGGCTTAGGGTTTTAGTTCCTTGCGGGACGTCGCAAGCCAGTCGCAAGAAGAGTTCTGAGTTTGGCAGAGTCTGGGTTCAAAAAGGGTCTCTAGATTGGGTAGCATTCCGGGTTCGGGAGTTAGAGGGTTGAAGAACATAAGCTTGGGCAGAGTCTAGGACATTTTCAGGTGGGTAGTTACCGTTATAGGAGCCTTACAGAAGGTCTATATACCTTATGGAAGCCTTATAGAAGCCCTACATACCCTAAACCCTAAGCCCTAAACCCTGAACTCCCCGTAAGTCGTCTTGACTGGAAGCTAATGGTGCGCACCTGCCTGCCCTAGTGGGCTCACCTGCGGACATGGTACTGTGGGAAAAAGGCCCTCAAAAAAAAAAAACCCTGAACTCCCCACCTGTAG